TGACTCCACTCCCTTGTGGAGTCTCCTTCTGTGGAGATCTTCAAAACCTGCCTGGATGCCACCCTGTGCCATGTGCTCTAGGTGTCCCTGCAGGAGCAGGGGGGTTGGACTGGATGATCTCTAGAGGTCCCTTCCAGCCTTAACCATTCTGTGATTCTGTGGCAGTCTCTCATGCTCCTCTGTCTCTAGGAGCCGGAGCTTTAAGAAGTAACTAAGATGCAAGTGTCTAAATCTACAAGCGATCATCCGAAGCAAGTTTTTGGTGCTTTCGAGGTGCACCACATGGCACTATTATGCCTAGGGCAATTTTGTAGAGTTGAGGAAGAGCAACTCTTTGCAGTGAGCATCATCTCACAGCTGCATCCCACAGGTCCTACCAACCAGATGTCTCCTGGAAGGGGTGGTAGATGAGCTGCGCAGGAGCTGCGGGACAGGCCTCCCTCAGGCTAGGGCTGTGACAAAACAGTGAAGCAACGGGTTTGCAACAAGTAGCTTCCAGCCTGCAGGTTGCGTTGGCTCCCTCCAAGCGTGGTTGGCAGGGGAGGAAAACGCTGCTTCAAGGAAGGGAGGCTCCAAGCCTGTGAGTCTGGTTTTCTTTTATTTAGTGAATACAAAACCCACCAGATTCTTCCTGCAGCTCATGCTGCTGAGGCCAATGCTGCTGCGAGCTGCTGGGTACAACCAACGTGAGTGGTGATAGGGCCAAGACCCACGAGTGCTGTCACCCTGAAGGGCGCTGAGCCCAGGGTGCCCAGGGCAGCCAGGCTCCGCACGAGGACGATGGGGCAGGCAGTGGCGGACGCCTCTGTCTCCAGTAGGTGCCGGAAGGGAACGGTAGCCTCGTTGGGAAGCAGCTGGCCCAGCCCTGTGCCAGGCGGGCGGCCCGCGGTGCGGGGGCTGTGTTTGGCGCAGCCCGGGGATTTCACCAGGCCAACAGGGCTTTGGGTTCCCCAAGCAGGGCCGCCGCGTGGGAGTGACGTGAGGAAGCAGATGTCATTTTCCCGTGTAATTTCCCGCGCCGCCGCCGCCAGCCAGCAGGGAAGGAAACGTCGATCCCCTTCCTGCCTGCGCCTGGCAGCTCTTCCGCTG